TAATGATTTAATTATTTACTAAGCAATACATGGATAATTAAATCATTCCAAGACAATGATGCAAGTTCATTAAGTACATTAATGAAACCAAGATACACGGGGTCTAGTTATATGTGAAAGGCTAAAAGTTCCATGGAATAGAAGTTATAGCTAAGTGAACTAAGTTCCATACAAGTAAAACAAGTAATTGTAAGTCTCAAACTTATCCGATTATGCTCAATATAATACACGTGAAGGAACTTATCAAGACAATCATGAATACAAGGTTAGAAACTTAATCAAGTGCAAAGAACCATTAAATGGATTTTAATTATTTCATTTAATTAAAATCTCTAGATTTTGAAAGTCATCCAAATGACCTCAATTTAATATATGTTATTCAACATGTCATAACTTGATTTAAGAACACAATACAAGTACATTTCATGCAAGTTACGGCCTTGAGTATTAAACTTTAATACAAGAAAAATAATAAATGAAAGGTTTCAAAACCTAATCAAATATTCTAGATTTAATATATATGAAACTATATGGCATGTACATCAAGAATTTCAAGTCGAATTTCCAATGGAGTGAATAATACACTCGGAGCAATTTAATTAATCTAATTAATTAAATATTACTAGATTTCAAAACTTCTCCGATTACTCTCAATTTAATCTATGTTGAAGAGCATGCTAGGGCCTAATATAATATGCTATCACATGTTGATTTAAAGCTAGATAAGGCCACATGATTTAATATTTTATTCAAGATAAATATTAAATAAAATCTTCATTACTTGTCCAAATAATCTAGATTTAATATATGTCAATCTACATATTAAGGAGTAATATTCTATTATGCCACATGATTAAACAAAGTTATGGACAACCGGGAAAATTAAATCATTCACAAGAAAAATAAATAATAACATCTTTAGATTTTACATCCAAGCATGTAATCAAGTTATATAAGTATCACAAGCATGTAATATAGCAAGAATTTAAATTATAACACCCTCTACCTCAATTTGAGATGAAAACCCCAAATCCCCACAAAAAAAAAAAAGCGTTCCGAATCCGCCGAAATCAAAGGGTTTTGACGGGGATAACACGATCTACATGAATCCGAAGGAAGCCCCATGAAAATCACAACTTGACTCTTAACCCAAACTCAAGAAATGGTCAGAAATGAATTCTAATAAGGGGGAATGGTAGAACACGTCGAGGGGAGCGATAAACGTAAAGGCCGAAGAGATTTCACTTAGGAAATCAAGTAGAGGAGAAGGTCAAAGGGTGGCAGCCAAGAAGCTTCCATGGCTGCCGGCCAAGAGGTGGAGAAGAAGAGTGAAATTTTGATTTTTTACTTTAGGGCATCCTATTTATATTAAGTTTTAAAAACTGCCCCGAAAGGGCCCCGCCGGGTCCGGAAAAGTGGATTTTGAGCAAATGAGCTCAACCGGCAAAACTCTGTGAACGAAAAAGATTCAAAATGAGAAAATATGAACAATGGAAGAAATAACGTCAAAAACTGAGTCCCGAGCAGAGAGATATGCCCCGAACAAGTTTGGCAGCAACCAGGTCCAGAAACTCTGAAACTGGAGAAAAACGACCAGAAGGAAATTCTATGAATTTACGAGTCAACGAAAAGTGAAAATGAATCCCGTACGAGGATCCAGACTCCAGACGAGATATTTTGCAATAACTTTCGTTAATTACACAATGACCCCTACAAAAGGGGTTAACTACCTTCAAAAGATATTTATGAAAAACACCCCAAGAAAAGAAAAGAATTCCAAAGAATTGTGCATCCATGCCCCTATGGACACCGGGAGCAACCAGAGTACTTTCTTGCAAAAGTAAAGATACGTATTTCGAGAAAACCACTGAAGCTGAAGACACGTGAAGTCAAAAACCAACTCCGAGCACGAAAAGTGAGGTTGTGCCAAAAACTGGCAAATGGGGAAAAGACAGAATAGGGAAAAGGACGAAATAGAGAAAAGGACAAAAGTGAATAGTGTCCTGAAAAGTGAAAATATGAAAATGACTCAGTCCTCAAAGGAAGTTGTCAATCCACACAAAAGAGTCTCAGAAGCCAATTCTGAGCACTCGAGATGACATTAAACGACGAGAAACAAATCTCAGAAAAGAGAATTAAACGGAAAAAATTTATCCGTAAAATTTCAGGAAAAAGGAAAGGGAGTCAAATGACCTGGTCGTTACATCAGATGACCTAACTATCACAAATTTAATAAAATAAAATAGTTAAATATATAACAACACTCACCTTGTTCCTGTTCCAGTCCCACCATCTCCAACCCCATACTTGTGTAATATTGCTTTTTAAGAGATCAAGGACAACAAGATCCCCAGAGCGAAACTCAGATTGAAAAGTTTTCAAAGGGCATCATTTCCATTGTAGCCACTTCAACTCAGCAGGTAGTAATTTAAAATTTCCAACCAATTTCACATGATTAATCTGAAGAAGCCTCAGGTGAAGCATAGATTTAAAAGCTTTAGTGCAGAGTATCACATCTTTCTCCTCCTCTGCTGCCCCATGGCCAAAATATTTCTTGTATATTTCCTTCAAGTACGAATATACAGATGCCAAACCAGGCTTTGTTTAAAATTTTGCCTAACAGATTTGTTCAGAACTTAAATCATGCTTCTTCTCAACGTCTAGGGTGATCCATTGAATGTTTCTTGTTCCCTAAGATTAGTCAAATGAAGACATCTAGTGCATGTTGTCTCAATTAATCAAGGTCTGTAATTCTTATTTTGCAAAGTGAATCCTATTTGGTGAAATTTTTTATGATCTTTTTTATTATTTTATGAATTTTAGTTATAAATATTTGTGAAGATAATGACTGAAACAAGATCTCCATTTACAGGATTTAAAAGACTAATTGGTAAAATTGGGTTGAACTTGAGTCTTAAATGGGAAATAATATGATGTTGCTTATAGTTTTTATGCAATCTCAGTTTCTTGGAAATACTATAGTATATTATATCTATTTATAAATTAGTTCATTTTTCTCCCTATGTCTTCTTACTATACGTGTGGTTGGTCATTCCAAGTGGTTGTCACTGTCTATGGATTAATTTGGTTTTTTTTATCTTATGAGTACTAATTGTTTAACTTCTTTTTGATATGATATGTTTTTCTCATATTTGTCTCTTTTACTCATAGGTTTTAAGTGCATGATGAATTTGGTTTTTTCATCTTATGAGTACTAGTCTTGGTGAATGAAGAACATAGGAATGAAGAAAATCTTAATGAATATAGAGATTTAATGAATGAAGATAGGAATGAGAATCAAAATGAAAAAAAATGTGAATGAACTTGAAGATTTAGTAAATGAAGAATATATGAATGAGAATGATAATCTTCCTTTAAACATTAATGATCTAGGAAATTGGAAAGATATTGATAAAAAAATGGTTTATTAATTATGCTAATGTCATATTAATTATGGTAACGCTAATGTCAAGTAATATGGTGCTACTCAGGATAATCAATGGATAAAGGCTGGATGCACCTTAATGATAGGTTATTTTAACTTTAAATAACCTTACTCATAGACATTGTTCTTGTCATTTTTGTGATAATAAAAAATATTTTTATTAATTTTCAACTGTAGAGCTTCAGATGAGTATAAAGCTGGAGCACAACGTTTTGTTAATTGGGCTAAACTGAATACGGGGAATTGAGAAAGCATTTTATACCCTTGTATCCGTTGTAAAAATTCAATATATCAACGCTTCGATAAGGTGTATGAGCATATTGTGATAAAAGGAATGAATTTTAAGTACACTGTATGGGTCTTACATGGAGAGAATCAGAGTGCAACTTTACAAAATGATGGTGTGGAAATATCTAAGATGTATGAGATGTTTAGAGATGCATATAATTTTAATGGTGAAGAAAATGCTCATACAGAGCTATTGCATTTTCATGGGACAAAATCAATTGTCGCGAAGGGTGTGATTGATTCAGTGGATCCAGATTCTCTCATAGGTTCTGCTCCACTTGGCTCTAACTATTGGAGAGTGTGGATCACTAATCTCATTGATTCTAGTGTGCCCTTATATAGGCCTAAAATTCGTGGCTTTGATTTGAAAGACGCATATGTTACAGGATTTTCAATTGCATGGCCTATCAAGTACATCAAAATTTGTAAGTGACGCATTTCTTTTATGATTACACATTTTTAATGCTTTTTATACTCATGCTCAGGGGGGTCACATGCCTTTAAGTAACCAATTTTGTGGTGTATAGGGGGTCACGTGCCTTAAGTGACCATTTTTTTTTTAATTAGTGTCCATCAAAATCAACACTTTAGTAGTTTAGTGGGTTTGAATATTTAATAAAGTCAAAGCACAGTTTGTTACCTTTTCATATTTGATAGATAAAATTCAGGAGAAAAACATGAAGATAGCACAAGCGTAGTACAAAAAATTAATATATTCCTCCAAGTTATTTAAAAAGAAATTCAATTTTCTTATTTTTCCCTTATAGCATTGCAGAGCATGTCTGGGAAAGAATTCTGCCCCTAAAGCCAACCCCCTCTGCTAAAGCACTTCAAATTAGATGTCCATGGATTTCCTATCAGCTCAAATCACCAAATTTCTGCAAGTCCTATTTTATCCAAACCTTACTGCAATAACATATTGATCTACAGCACTAATTAGGGGGAAAAAAAATTATAGAGTCCTATTCTATATGTTAGTTTAGTAACATAGATTATGATGTTATTTTTAAAGATAAAATGAGGAAGGGTGAAAATTCTAGTAAAGGAATAATTTGCAGTTCACATAATCATTATATTTAACATGTAACGTAAGGTGGACCTAAATAATTTAAAAGCATGCCACTTAACCAGAATCACAAGATATTCAAAATATGGAAGATAGAATTATTAAAAAAAATATATATAGAATGAAGGCACAGTTAAAAATTAGAATAATGAAATGGATACGGGTCGGTAATAATGTCAAAACACAACCTCCACCACTAGCTCATGTCAGCTTGGTAACTAATTTGTATTTCAACGTTGTTCGAAGCACAGTTTCTATTGAAGAATGGCTGACCCCCATACATTGAAGCAACCCTTGGTTCATTTCCATTAATTCTTCTAATTTCTCTTCCTTCTTAGTTATAGCAATGTCATGAAGAACAGGAGACTGGATAATAGTAGCTAGTTCATTGCTAATAGAATCAATAGCAGTAAATACAGCTGTTATAGCTTTTGGATGCCTGAGAGTCCTCTCTGAAACACCAGTAACTAATGCCTTTGTATTCCTCCCAACTTTGGTGTTAGTTATGAGCATTTTGAGTGGCATATTGGACTTGATCCGTGTTAAATCACCTGGCCTGAACTTGATCATATTACCTTTTATATGGAATTTCATTACTTGTATATATATTTGAATTCTGAAGCCTACTTGCATTAATAAGCTTTAAAAAAAAAGTATCAACAAATCATGTTCATAAGCTATTTCTCAGCCAATTAAGTCAGGTCAGGTCAGCTTCTCAAGAATCCAATTCTCTAGTTTCAGATATTAGCTTCTTATTTTAACACAAAATGTAGTGCTCCTTCATTGAAACTCTTACTGAATCTTATTAAATTTTCCACAATCTGATCAACTGCTCTCCCAATTTCCTTTTGGGATAAAATGACTATCATCTTCTCTTGTGATTTTGCATACTTTATCAAATATTGTATGAGTCCAATTTCAGATTCCTCTTTTGTAATCTCAATCTTTGATATATTCATAAAAAGTAGAAATTCAAGATCTTGAGATTCCCAGTAGTCTAAATTAGATACTGGTGCTGTTGATTTGTGTGTTAATTGAATGTAGTCTATGCAGCTCACACTCAACGTCTTCAGATTAGGCAATCTTCCCAAAAAGAAGGCCAGTGTAGGAATTTTATGTTGTCTTTTATAACCACCTTGTATATCCAAGTTTTCCACATAAATCATATAGGGTAGGCCATCTTTTTTAAATGGCTCCTTAAGCATCCAATTCTCTAATTTCAGAGATTTGACTCGGCTAACAAATGGAAGAAGCTGAAATACTAAACTTTCATAATTTGGACTTGATTCAAAAGTACTTATACATGTTAATACTTGCTTTGGGATTATTTCCTTGACACACTGAACTTGCTTTACTTGAGTTAAGACCATGTCAATACTTGCTTTGCTTGAATTAAGACGAAGAGTTGATCTTTCAAAGTACCTTTATTATAATGTTTGCTTTGCTTGGTTTAATTTTGGTAACTTTACAACTTACTTTACATTACTTCTCTTACGTTAACTATCTTTGTAGGTCAAAGTTAGGACTGCAGGTTGCGGGTGCAGTTACTTTTTTTGTTGCCACTATATTTTTTGTATGGTTTATGAAGAAGAAGTTACAAGAAGATATGAAGAATTTTTAATTATTTTGGTTAAGTAAAATATATAAAGTGTGGATCATGTACTTATTTCAAATTTGTATATGGTTAATTTTTATATAAAACAATGATTTAGAATTGGTTATATATATATATATGAGTTATAAATTATTTTTGTTATAACGCTATTTTTTATTTATTTAGGGTTTTATAAGGCTAGTAGTAGTTTTTTTTTTTTTCTTTTTTTTTTTTTTTTTTTTCTTTTTTTTTTTTTTTTTAAAAGAAAAGAAAAAGGGCTAAACTATTATTTAAAAAAAAAATTATATAACACTTTCTACCACGGTTATGGACCGTGGTAGAAAGTATACTTTTCTACTACAGTTTCTAACCGTGGTAGAAAATAAACTTTCTACCATGGTGCCAAACCGTGGTAGAAAAAAAGACTTTCAACCACGGTGGGGAACTGTGGTAGAAAATAAACTTTCTACCACGGTGGGGAACTGTGGTAACAAGTCTATTTTCTACCATGGTGCAAAACCGTGGTAGAAGTCTTGACTTTCTACCACGGCTGTTTCTACCACGGTTCAAAACCGTGGTAGAAAGGCTTTTCCATCGTGGTAAAAAGTCATTTTTCTTGTAGTGATCATTATTGTACAACTTGTTCCATTCTATAACAATATTATTCAATACTAAGAACATAATCTCACAATTATAATACAAGTTTAAAATCAAGATTAAAACATGTAATCAATATGAAATTCATCCTCAAATCATTAACACAACAAAGATAGAAATTAATTTAATAAAACAACTAATTTCTCTAGATTTCATTTCTCATCCAAACATGCTCAATTTTATATATGTTCAAGAACCTATCATGATCATTACATATATTACCTCAAAACTTAATTTAAATCATAGGAACATATAAATAAAAATTAATTAATTAATTAATTAATTATTCTAGATTTCAAAACAATCCTAAATGACTTCAAATTAATACAAGTTTCGAATCAAGTCATGGCCTTCTCAAAAATCATGTCTTAGCTTAACTTTATGCAAGGTACCATTAACTATTAACTTAAGAATATAGATTAAAGACATGTATTCCATTTGTACCGAGTTATAAAGCATATAAAACACCAAAAACATAACTTAGAACACCCCCTACCTCGATAGAGAATTGAATCTCTATACTCCAAAGCAACCAAGTCTAAAAAGGAAAACCAAACTAGGGTTTTGTAGAGGAGAGTGAGAGGAAGCTAAAGTATTCCAAGCTTATGAGTCTAAGGTGAGTGGAAGGAGGCCAAAAATGAAGTCAAAGCTATATGTCAAGTTTTTCGTTCAATAGAGGCTAGGTTAGGGTTTGAGAGTAAAGTGGTGAGGAAGATACAATAAAGTGAGGTGAGTGAAGGATTTAGCATTCCTCTACTCACTATGTGCTTTTACACTACCTCTCACACACACATATAATACAAGACCAAAAATGAAGCCTACACTTGTCACTAATCCAGGGCTCCTTCCTAGGCTTAATCCTAAACCTACACTTGTCAACCTAGGCCAACAAATGGGTAAATCTCCACCCTCCAAGTGTCAAGAGATTAGGCTTCCAAGCTACTCCACCCTAATGCCAACAAGTGGCTCCATGAGAGTGTGACACTTGTCACACTTTCCAAAAATTGCAAAAATTTCCTTTTCCAAAATATCTCCCAAATTAAATTGTAAAATGGTCCCTAAGACGAAAAATAATTACTTTACATAATTACATTAAAACTCCAAAAGTCAAGAATATTTCTAAGAAGTTATGCAACCATGCCCTTTACAAGAAAAGTAAACATCTAGCATGCTTTTTTACAAAAGTAAAAATGTAGATATTAAGGATGTATGCAAAGCCGGAATCAAATCTGAGCATAAAAAGTGAGGTTATGCAAGGAAAATGATAAATGAGAAAAAGACAAAATAAGAAAAAAAGTGAAAAAAAATTACCGAAAAAGGAAAAAAAGGAAAATGACTGGTTCATTACAACCTACCCTCCTTAAAAGGATTTCGTCCCCGAAATCAAGTCGTACCAAAAAGAGAGAACAAATAGGGATACCGGGAGCGAACCTCTTGCTCGAGCTCCCAGGTAGCCTCCTCAATGTTGTGGTGTCTCTACAAAACCTTAACCAATGGAATGGTCATGGTCCGCAAGACCTGTTCCCGTGAATCAAGAATCTAGACTGAACCTTCCTCGTAGGTTACGTCTTCATAAAAAATAACCCTGTCCATTATAAAATATGTGACGGATCCGGTTCGTACTTCCTCAGCATAGAAACATGAAAGACGTCGTGAACCCTATCCATGTCTGGCGGTAATGCCAAACGATTAGTAATCTAACCAACGCGTTTCAAAATCTCAAATGGCCCAATGAACCTAGGAGACAACTTGCCAGTCTGTCAAAATCTCAGAAGTCCCTTGCGCGGAGAAATCTTAAGAAAGACATGGTCCTCTACCTCAAAAGATAAGTATCGCCTCCTCTTGTCAGCGTAACTCTTCTATCTGCTCTGTGCAATAGCTAACCATTGCCGAATCAACTTGATTTTCTCTGTAGTCTCAATGACAATGTTAGGACCCATGGCAATGATATCATCGACCTCGGTCCAATAAACTGGAGATTTGCAAGGCCTGCCATATAATGCCTTAAAATGTGCCATAACAATACTGGTCTAGTAACTATTGTTGTAGGCAAACTCAACCAAAGGCAAGTAGTCCTCCCAACTACCCCCAAAATCCAAGACAGAAGCCTGTAACATATCCTCCAATATCTGAATGGTGCACTCCGACTGACCATCAGTCTGAGGATGAAATGTCATGCTAAAATGAAGCCTCGTATCAAAAGCCTCCTGAAAACTTTGCCAAAAGTGATACGTGAACCGCGGATCCCTATCTGAAACAATGGATACCAGAATCTCATGAAGCCTAACGATCTGCCTCACATATAGTCCATTTAGTCTCTCCACACTGTCTATCACTGCCATAGGCAAGAAGTGAGCCGTCTTAGTCAACCTATCAACTATGACCCAAACGGCATCATTCCTTGCCTGAGACCTCGGAAGTCCCGTTACGAAATCCATAATGATATGCTCCCATTTCCACTCCGTTACTGATAATGGTTGCAAAAATCTTGTTGGTCGCTGATGCTCTGCCTTCACTTGCTGACAAGTAAGGCATCGAGCCACAAACTGTGAGACATCCCGTTTCATGCCCTGCCACCAAAACTATCGCCGTAGATTGTGATACATCTTTGTACCACCAGGATGAACTACGAGCCAAGTGTGGTGAAAATCCAGAAGAACGTCTTCACGACTAGACAAAGGAACAAATATCATCCCCTTGTAACTGAGACCACCGTCTGAATGTAAGGTCCAACCTTCTATATTCTCACCGCTTGAAATCCAAATATAGATGGCCTTCATCTCTCCATCCTCCAACTATACCTCAATAACTCTGCTAACAAGTGCCAGTTGAGCCACAAGGCTAAACAAAATAGCCGGTGAGACATCCTGATAAGACTGTAAACCAAGATCTGCAAGCTCTTCTAGTATCTTCCATCTATGAATAGAAATGCTAGTAAGAGTCCCCTGTGACTTCTTGCTTAATGCATCGGCCACTACATTGGCCCTTCCCGGATGGTACTATAACTAAAAGTCGTAGTCCTCCATAAACTCAACCCATCTATGCTCTCTCAAGTTTAAATCCTTCTGAGAGAAGAGATACTTGAGACTTTTATGATTAGAGAAAACCTCAAACTTCTCCCCGTACAAATAGTGTCTCCACCCCTATAGGGTGAAGATAACTGCTGCCAACTCTAAATCATGTGTCGGATAGTTTAACTTGTGATTCTTCAACTGTCGAGACGTATAAGTAACTATCCGCTCTGTCTGCATCAAGATACAACCCAAACCTTCCCACGAAGCATCACAAAAGACCACATAACCCAAACCATGTTCAGGAA